CGCCAACCTACTGATCGTGAGGGGGCGGGTACATAGTGATAGCGGCATCCACAGCCTTTATATCTGGAATTTATCCGGCACGACAACTTCATTGAAATTTGAGGGCTGTATAAGGGTCTGGCTTTTTCGGCACTGACTAGGGTCGCTTCGCGACAGGTGCCCTTTCTCATGTCTGCATAAATACATCGACGGATGGAGCGGGACGCCTCGGGCCGAAGTGAATCTCGGTTCAAGGAACTGGTAGCGGGTCCAGGTGTCGCCATGTCGCCCACAACGGCTATGTACGTGACCCCCAAATTGTAAAGAATTTTCAGGGATCTGAAAGTCTTGGCAGGTTGCAGGAACAGGGTGCAGGGAGGATTTTCGAAATCCTAAAGTATAAGTGATGAAACGTATAATATATTATAATATGAGAGTGAAAACAAGATAAATCCCATGGGGGAACAAGAGCGGGTTCGAGAGAGAGAGGTTATTATAAAGAAATGAAAAATGCTATAAGCTCCGGAACAGACTATTCGAGTGCCAAAAGGAAAGATTTATTGCATAGATATATCAGACAAACCTATAAAGAAATGAAAAATGCTATAAGCTCCGGAACAGACTATTCGAGTGCCAAAAGGAAAGATGGAGAACTCGAATAGCCGGTTGCGGTTACAACTTTATAAGTTTGGCTATGTGACATGACTTGTGATATGTATGTGTGTGAAATGTGAAATAGATAAAAATAGAAAAGAAAAAAATAGATGAGAAAAAACTTGGAATATAGAAAAAGATAGAGAGTTCGCAATGTTGCTAATCCCATAACTCTTACAGCCCCTCCCAACATGAAGAACTAATGCGGTCAATAAAAAATAAAGAGAAAAAAATTTGAGAGATAGAATCAACGGTAGAAATAGAGAAAATTAATCAAAAGATAAGAAATATAAAAATAATGGAGAAAATAGTGAAAATAGATGAAAAATATCAAGGAAAATGAGAAAAAAATATTAAGGAAAATGAGAAAGAAAAAGATAAATGACACGGAAGGAAAACGGAGCCTATGTTGCCGCTGGGAATGTTCTGGATTGCAAGGTCTTTTGTGCTAGCGAGATGTTTTGAGGGCCCCCAAACGTTTGGTGGAAACGTCGGCTAGTTGAAATTGGATTTGATATCCAGTATTAGCTTCAACCTGGCTATTTCTCACCAAAGTCATTGACAAGGGAGGAGGGCTG